AAAACCCCAAAACCCCAAAACCCCAAAACCCCAAAACCCCAAAACCCCATGAGAGAAAATCAATTTAAATATTACTGAAATCAATAAATAAAATCAAGTTATAATGAAATTAAATTTAATCAAAAGCTTCACTACTTTATATTTTGTTTATATTTAGAATTCAGTATGAAAAAAATTATAATGTTTCATCTTTCTTTCCTGAATTTAATTACAATTCTTTAGCATTTATATTCTTAATATTTGATTGCATTGCATCTATCTCAAAAGGTTATCTGCTAATTTAATATTGCTTACTAGTAACTTTATTAGGGCTGTCATTTATATTTTATTAAGAATTACTCTCTTTTTCTAGATTGAAAAAATCCTCAAGCATCTTACTGTTATCTATTGAACTCTTAGATTAGTTTTGGTTGACTGGGGAATACAATGATTAAAATTTAAATGAGCTTTCTAAAGTAATCTTTAGCTAAAGTTATAAATGAAGATTTGTTGATAAAAATTATTTTTATTAGGCATCTTATCTCTTGAAGCAACGTAGCTTTCGTATTTAACTTGGTAATTATGATAGAACTATCACATAGATGTTGACTGTAAGAAAAGTAAGAGAGGCTACTATTGGTAAATATCCAATTTTAATTTTTAGATCATAATCAAGTTAATAATTATCTGTGAAAATAATCATACTGTACAAAATAACCTGGAAAATAATTTCATTAAAAATCTCAAGTTAATTAGTTTTTTTGTTTTCATAAGGTTATGATAAAAAAATATAGATAATCATAAGAATGTTCTAAGTAACCATAAATATTGTTTAAAGTCCTTAATTATCGTGAAAAATTACTAATGTTACACAATAAATTAACCTTCTAGTTATATATACAGAGGTAAAGATATAGCAGTCTGGCCTAATTTATTCTATTAATGGTAAAAACTTTTATTATAATGATTATCGCCGCTACTTATATATCACATTAGTGATAAAAAATGAAAAAAATGGCAATATAAAACATATTCCAAGAAATTTCACAGACAAAATTGTCCCGGTTATATCTATAAAAGTTGATACTCTCTAAAGTATTTAATGAATTTGAGTTAAAATAAATTACACTAAAATTGCTAATACTAGAACATATCATAAGCTCAATCAAAGATTCAAGCACAAATCTTATGATAAAATTGAAAAATACTACATAGTGAAACTTTTAAAGCAAAAGCTTTGTAGATTATCTATATCATCAATTAAAAGCTGATCTTACCTCTTCACAGAAATTGACAGAACTTAAGATAAATGGGACAATAGCATTATGATCATCACAAAACAGTACAAATAAAATATAGGTCCGAGATTTCTAATCAAATTTGTCGAAGAATAACCCATTCTTTCATAATATGGATTAAATACAGAGTCATCAAGCATTTCTTATTCGTATTCAAATATAAGCTCATTGACTTTTTCAATGTCAAAGAATTAAAAACTAGAAACTTCTAGTATGAAACTAAAGAAGAAAACTGTATTTGCCGGAGTATTAATGGCCATCAGTGGCAAGTGAGTAATTAGTTAAAAGCTATTAATCATTCCCCATAGCATTTAGATACTTTATGACCTAAATAATTAGTGGATAATGATTACATAAGGATATTCATGAAAAAATTAGATCCCATAATACTAGATATAGTTATAAAGGTTGCTTATCCAAGAACATTTAATACTTCTTTTAAACTTTAGCTTAACTAAGGAGGTATATATCCCTTTATCTAGTATCCTTCTTTGATCATTAGTTTTTCTGTCTTATCGTAAAATAGAAAGTTATATTTAAAACTAATGATTAGTCAATCCCATACCTAAATAAAATTTAAAGTTTACAGTAGTTAAATTACAGAATAATTTGATATAGCTTGGGGTTCAGTGAAATTCATCTAAATAATAAGTCTTCTTTAATTTATTTCAAGAACTTCAAAATTTTATTCTATTTCTTATTCACTTTACTCTATCTTAATCTTAATAGCTTCTTTCACCTTATTCTTGTCTTTTTAAAGTTTATCATTTAGAATTTAATTGAAAAGCACCACCACTTCTCCTGTGTTTGAAATTGTTTTAATTCTTGCTTAAATATTTCCGATAATCAGAAATTCTTTAGATTTTTTGTAATCATTCAGTAACTATAATCCACTTAATTAAGATTCATATCATGATAGTTACTCTTCTTCTGCTTTTACAATTATCTAAAATTATTATTAACTTTTTAAACTCTATTTATTGTTGTCTTATAAAACTATTATAACTTGATGCTTCCCTACTACTTGCTTAATAGGATTTATGATAAGCTTAGTATTTGTTACCTTTAGAAATAATTATCCTTTATTTTTGTAAATGTAAACTTTATAATTGTCTCCTTCTGAATCAATAATTTAAGGAAGATCAAAAATATATTATTCTCCAACTTTAACTTCTATATTTTGAACAGGATATAAAAAGTATGGTGCAGTGTTATTTATCGTAAATTGATCTGTTTCACTGTATACTTCAAATTTGAAAAAATGCACTTATAATATAGGAGACACAAATGGTATTATATCAGCTGTAATATTAACCCAAAACTAGAATTCATAATTTCCAATACTTTCTAAGGTGTTAGCAAATATTCCAACTTGGAAATACTTTAATTAATCTTATATAACTGTCGAAGTCAACTATTAAGAATTCTTTCTAAGGTTAACCGATAGATTTTGATTAAAGCAATCTTGATTTGGTCCTAAAGTTAATTTAGGAATGGGATAATAAACAACGTCGGCAGATATTTTATGCCTAAAAGTAACATTCCTTGTATCATTTATTATCTTAAAATCAATTTAGCAAGCATTTGAGATATTCAAAATGAATGAATCGTATGAAATATTCCATTTGGTAGATAGATTAAAAGTCTCTGATATCTGATAAGTGATGTTAAAGAGATAATAGCCGATAAAGTCTAAGTTGTCAAACTTAGTAGATATGTTTGCTACTAGTGTGCTAGAATTAGATGAATTGTAAAACTTCAAATGCCCTAGTCTATTAGTATCATTGACATTGATCTCGATAAAATAGCTTCTTTGTTTATCAAGTTCATCCTAGCATTGGCCATAAAGGGTAAAGATTTAGTAATAAATTTGACATTCCATTCCTAAGTAGCAATCATTCAATTAAGTTTTGCTATTGGCTTATTAATTTTGTTGAGGATTTAGCTTCTTGACATATTTTTAAGAAGTATCAATGTTACTCTAATTTTTCAAAAAATCCAGTTAATACAAGTGATCACCGATTTCTATTAAAACTGGTTTTAATGACCATTATGAATTAGATGGGTTCTTACTACCGCTTAGTTATGAAAAGTTATTATTATAGATTACGCTATAGGCAATTTTTTACCCTTGAGATTCGTTAGAAATAACACTGCTATAGGTTTTTTATTGAGAATATGAAGACATGAAAGCCCTTCTTGATCCAGAATAGTCTATAAAGCCGAGATAATACAAATCAAAAAGTTTGTAGTCATACTTAAATTGTTTTGTATTTACATTCTACTGCAAATAGCTTTGAACATATTCTATCACAAATGAAATAGAAATAAGAGGATCCCAACCAATTTTGATCGTGAATATTGTGGATTCAATATCGTTTGAAGCTGTGTAGACTAGCCAAATTTCATCTTTATCTTTGATTATATTTCCAATGCACTCAAATTTCCGATGAGTGTAAGTTTCGCTTACATCCCTATATAAGGCTAAATTTTACTTTGTTGTTATATCATAGATAAAAAGCCCCATCAGACTTGTACTAGAGACAGTAGCCTCTAAGCATCCAACAACTAAAGAGTTTCATTCAGCTATCTGTGGAATAATGATCTAATATTTTACGAGGGCATTAGCTTATAAAATGTAGCTAATTATATTTGTATCTGGATCATTGAATTGAGAAACGAAAAGACTGAACTAGTTATTTTCAGTGAATTGAATACCCATCAGTATAAATAATTTTGAGGATTAGTGAAAATAAATTGCATTTACTACCATTTTTTCCTTAGAAAGTGAGAAAAATTGGACTAGTTCTGATAAATCCCATGAGAATATTAAAATTAAACCACTTTCTGCTCCATCTGAGTTACAAAAATAAATTTCTCCAGTTGACTATCTGATACTTAAGATATGAGGCATTGCTTTTGGTAGAATAAAATATCTTGGCACAATTGCTGTTTATAATATTTAACCATACAAGTCTTATCAGATCAGCAAATAATCTATTCCAGATAAATGTTCAGTTTAATTATATTATTTAGATCTTGCTATTGAAATTATATGCGTTTATTATTAGAATTCTATCGCTTCAACATTATCTAATTAAACATAGCTTTATTTATCTGCATAGTTGTACGACTTAAGCCACATAAATCTATTCATATTTCCTCTGCTGTTGTATAGACCCATCATAATATCAGTATTATATTTTCCAGCAACAGCAAAGTAATTTAAATCTTCATCATAATTGAAAACTGTAAATTACGAGTCTACTTATTCCTCATAATTTAGCTCTATAGGTAATTACTTTGGGTCAAAGCAATTGGGTAAAGTAAAGACTCTATATAAAAATACAGAGCTCGTTAGAATTAGTCTCAAACTCATTTTAATTATTATTGTTAATATGACGTAATTGTTTATGAAGCGATTTTGTATTTGTAGCTCTTTATTAATAATATTAATTGTCTTCTGCACTTAATGATGATTATCATGATGGGGTTTTGGGGTTTTGGGG